AAAGTGTAAAACACTGAGCCAATTTAAGTGTGAAAGTTGGAAAACCTACGTAAGCTTGATCTGTATTGAAACGTTAACATTTTAAAATGCTACTATAATAGCTTAATATATATATAATTTTTTGAAGGTGGCGATCCTTATTCCTTTTCGGAACCGCCATGAGCATCTTCCAATCTTTTTCCGTCATCTGATACCTATGTTGCAGAAGCAGCGGCTGGAATTTGCCTTCTATGTTGTTGAACAGGTAACAACATTTGCTTGGAAAGTGAGTCTTCAGCATTCCTTACTAAAGGGAATTTGATATTCTTGCCAAGATTTGGATGAATCAAGAATTTAAAATTTGTTACTCCTCTGTTCTAATCCTTTGAATGAAGAAGGAAAGTTCGGCTCCACGGCCCAGTTTAAGCAGTGGCCAGATACGTGTTGCTTTTGTTCAAATATGGGCTGGTATATAGGTGACAACGTGGCCTCTTTGTAAGTTTTCAAGGACAAAAAAAATGGGGCCACATCTGGCGGGTGACCGGTCACCAGTGGTGTTCCTCAGGGCTCGATTCTAGGGCCAGTTCTGTTCGAGACATTTATCAGCGACCTGGATGCAGCAAGTTTGCTGATGATCCCAAACTGGGAGGTGGTGTTGACTCCATTGAGGCAAGGGATGCCTTGCAGAGGGGTGTGGATAGGTTGGAGCGTTGGGCTATGATTAATGGGATGAGATTTAACAAATCAAAAGGCCAGATTCTGCATCCAGGGTGGAGTAAAGCTTGGCACAAGTGTGAAAGGAGAGAGGAGCGGCGGGAGAGCAGCCCTGCAGAAAGGGCCCGGGGGGTGCTGGTTGACAGCAGGCTCAGCAGGAGCCAGCAGTGGGCCCTGGCAGCCAAGAGGGCAGCCCCCATCCTGGGGAGCACCAAACACGGCATGACCAGCCGGCCAAAAGAGGTGATGATCCCGCTGTCGTTGTCCCGAGGCGTTGGTGCGGCCTCCCCTTGAGTGCTGAGCGCGGTCCTGGGGCCTGCGGTTCAAGAAGGATGTGAAGGTCCTTGAATGGTTCAGAGGAAAGCAGCAAAGCTGGTGAAAGGGCTTGAAGGAATGTCCTGTGAGGAGCGGCTGAGGACTCTGGGTTTGTCCAGTTTGGAGAAAAGGGGGCTGAGGGGTGACCTCACTGCTCTCCGCAGCTTCCCGAGAAGGAGACGTGGGGAGGGAGGTGCTGAGCTCTTCTCACTGGGATCCAGTGACAGGACACGTGGAAATGGTCCAGAGCTGCGCCAGAGGAGGTTCAGACTGGACATCAGGAAGCATTTCTTTACCAAGAGGGTGGTCAAACCCTGGAAGAGGCTTCCTGGAGAGGTGGTTGATGTCCCAAGGCTGTCAGCATTTGAGGCATTTGGACAATGTCCTTAATAACAAGCTTCAACTTTTGGTCAGCCCTGGAGTGGTCAGGCAGGTGGACTGGATGATCTTTGTAGGTCCCTTCCAACTGAAATACTCCGTTCTACTCTAGTTGTCTGTTTTAACAAGAAACAGAACGTAATGGTTCTCACTTGGTTTGCATCGGTGCTTCTTTAGCTCATAACGTCATGCTGGATTAATCCAAACCACCCATGTTTTGATACGTCACAGTTACTAGTGCTATAAGTTCTAGTGCTGTTAAGTTTGGTGCAAGAGGGGAGAACATCTAGACTTTTTAGATCCTGATGAAGTACAGTTGATTCTGTTGGTGCTAAGCGGAGCTCTGCTGAGCTAGAGAAATAAGAGGCATCTTGGTCAGTGCTTTTGGTTTGTGTGGTAGAGGAGGCATTTCTCAGAGTGTTGAAATTTTGTCTCTCCTTGATTCATTACAACGTCTCCTTTGTCTTCTGGTTGAAGACAGGTACACAACCTTTTAATCGTGCAATGCTCTTTAACGTTGGCTTCAAAGAGGCTATGAAGGATGCTGCCTGGGACTGCATAATATTTCATGATGTGGATCACTTACCTGAAAATGACCGGAATTATTATGGATGTGGAGAAATGCCACGCCATTTTGCAGCAAAGCTGGATAAGTACATGTACATGTAAGTAATTAGCTTAATTCACACTGTTTCTTAGAGACCCAGAAACTTTCTTAAAGCGTGTATGAAGTTTGTGACAGTAGAGTGAAACCAATAAAACAGCCTCCTGCCGTGCTACTTACGTCAATAAGTATCTAGTTATTAAAAGGAAGATTTAAGTTTAGTGCATACATTTGATGTGTTGCTAATTTGATGATATTATTTATAATTTTCAGGGTTGAACTTGTTGCAATCAGGTGAAAATATGGCGATGTTAGTCAAGGGGGAAAAGCTTACCTTGCTTATTAGAAATATATCTGGCTACAGAGGCCTTTGCAGTGGCTGTTAACAAAGATAAGCAGATAATCTGCAGCAAAATACCGCGGGGAAAAATGTCTTCCTTAATTTTCTTGTAAATGTATTGTTTATTCTTTGTGCTGCTTTTTGAACAGAAGATGTTCTGACTGCTAGACCATTTCGTGTCTTGTGTTCAGTCTCTGTTGACCTTTGAATGTAGTGGGTCCTGCAGTTTTGTTACCTCCTCTCCTTCTGCCACTTTACACTAAGGATGTTTCACCTGCTTTTGAACACTCTGCTGTCTCACTGCACTCTTCACACAAAGCTGTAGCTTATTGCTTGCTCCATCGTACGTATTTGCCATCCTGAGGTTTTATTTGTGAAGCTGATCAACTAGAGAACCTGGTCAACCTGACAGATCACAAGTAATGCGCTGAAAACATAACTCCGTGTTTGGACTTCAGGTTGTCAGCCAATTAGCCGTCAAACCTTTAAATATTTCGTAGGTATTTAAAAATATATAAATGAACACATAAATGTGTAAGAGATTTCATCTATCTTTATGTGTATTTATAAAATACTTTATATATATAATTTATAAAATGTATAAAATGACTAGATACAGATATTTACTAATATATGTTTCTGAAATAGATAAAAGTAGATATAAATACGTATTATAAACTATAAAAATAAATATATTTTTATCTATATATACAAAAAAGAGCACGGGTACCACACACAGTGCATACATATGAATAGAAACCTCAAACAGTTCCAGAAACTGCCATACCCCTGTTGTTTTTAACTGTGGTTGGTGGGTTGGTTTTGGGTTGTTGGTGGGTTTTGTTGGTTGTCTTTTGGGGGGAGGTGTTTGGGATTTTGTTGTGGGGTTTTTCGTTTTTAGAACACCTGTTATTTCAGTTCGATGTTGAAAGGGATATATAGTAACAACCTTCCCCGAGAGCTGTTAAGATTTGGTTGAATCCTGTGTTTCCACAGAGATCAGAAATTACGTGACTGTGTATTTCTTTTTCTTTCCCCTTGCATTCTGGAGTTATTTGTCCTTCAGTGTGGCAATTGTGCCCTAAGCAATGGTAAATTTTTTTGTAGTTAGTCCTAACTCCTTGAAGGTTCCAGATTTGGGAGCATCTCCTGAGAAATATGTTTTATTACTTTTATTTGATGAAATTGTGTGCTGTTTCTGAGAGAGGAACACCTTTTCTGTAGCAGTTCTGGGTTAAGTCGGTATTGATGGAAGTAAATATAGAAACGTAAATATTTATTTTTAATTTTTTTTTTTTAGATTGACAAAGTGTTTTGAAAACTGGAAATCATATTGTCTGAGCTTTAGTATGCTCTTATATAGCTATAGTGGCTGTTCGTGTTGGCCAACTGCTTATTACTTTATAATATCTTAGTAATTACTGTGTGCTTACTGACAAAAAAGCCTATAGATCCTTTTGAGTCAGAAGTTTAGCTTCTGAAAACTGGGAAATTGTTTTTTAGATAAGGGTGTATTTCACTGTGGTTGAACACGTGCTGTGAAACTGTTCCTCTCAAGTTTTAACAGTTCTGTAGAACACAGTTATGGTTCAAAATGACTGAATTGAAGCATTACTAGTTTGTAATTTTTTCAGTTGACTAAAGAGAGGTTTTTTCAGTGGAATAGTGTCAAGATACAATAGTTTGAGGGCTTCACTTAACTCTTCAGCTATGGGTCTAAATAAGCCATCTGAAATAAGTGATGGACTTTTGTTTCATGTGGTGATACTAATTTCAGCTACAGCTTGAGCACCTTTTCTGCAAATCGGACAGCACTGCCGGATTTTGTTCAGCTTCCGTATGTGTGACTTAGCGGCAGCGATTTGTGAACCAGTTTCCCTTCGTGAAACACGTTCAGGGTCTGTTCATGCCCCTTAGTTTGGGGTTCTTGGCTTTTTTTGAAAGGTAGTGTTCAAAGAGAGGGCTCCCCATCTGAGTTCAGCTGATAATTCAGGATTTGTCTTTTGGTTTCAGTCTTCCCTACAATGAGTTCTTTGGCGGTGTGAGTGGCCTGACAGTGGAACAGTTCAAGAAGATCAATGGGTTTCCAAATGCCTTTTGGGGATGGGGTGGAGAAGACGATGATCTTTGGAACAGGTGAGCAGTCAGTGCTTATGTCTTTCTCCTTGTCCTGTGGTATCCCCCCTTTGAGAGCAATTAGGGAGTTGGTTTTGTCAGTTGTTACCTTTATTTGATTTGTTTTTAAATGAACAAATTCCAACGTTTCTAAAGAGTTCATGTTTGAGGGAATAAATATTGATGTTCTTTTCTCTTGGCCTGGGGACAGTTAACAGCCTTTGAAGAGAGAAGTCTTCTAACAAATAACAGATATTACAACAGGTGACAGCGTTAAGCATATTTAGTCTCATTCCTTCTAGTCTGTGCGTTGCTTTTTGATTCTAATTTACCTCTCTCTTGCTGCTGAGCGTTACTGAATGCCACCCCAGAGACTTGTAGAGTAAGCGTGAGTTTAAGTCTCTTTCGTACCTTAGGAGCAGTATTTGAGAGGTAGGTTAGTTTGTGACTGCATTGGTACTCACAAATTGGACCACGGACAACAGTCTCACTGTATTCTACCTGCTCACGGTAAACAAGTGTAAAATATTCCAGTTGAGCTGGAGACAAAGCGTCTGCATGAGTTTATACAGAGAGAGGTGTTTTAAAGGGAGAGTTGTGTGTGTTTTCATTCTTTTTTTCGTACTATTTTCGTAATTTTATGCTGTTGTGCTTTTTAAGAGCGAAGCAGGAAATACTAAACATGAAATTATTATTATTATTTCACGCTTCATTGGTTTTGCCAGCTTTTTTGGTTGTTGGGTGAGGAGTGTTTAGGGTTTTTTAGGGAGAGAATGTCAGTGAACGCAAAGACCTGGCTTATAAGCTTTGATGCATGTTTTTCACTTTAGCTGTAACTAGTAAAACCATCTTTTTAATACTTTTCAACTGTTTCTGTGTTACCCTGCAGGGTTCACTATGCTGGATTCAATGTAACCAGACCAGAGGGGGATTTAGGGAAGTACAAATCCATTCCTCATCATCACAGGGGTGAAGTCCAGTTTTTAGGACGGTAAGAAAACCAGGGAACCGTTCAAATACTAGAGCTGAGGATGTAAAATGATTTCTTACACACCTACAACTAAGCAGTCAGTGCTTATCAGTGTTATTTCCTCTTTAGTGCTAAACTTTGTGTTTTCTCAAACACATGAAGTTCGGTGCTCAGGTATTTCTTATTTAACCATGAGAGAGACTGAGTTGGTGTGTCAGAAGATATTCTCATCATAATCTTTGGTGCAGAATGTTATTGTTCCTTAATAGTTCGGGCATTAGTGCTGGCAGGGCTCCATTAGTTGGTTAATTTGGATATTTTGCAGAAGGAAGCAGTACAGCTAGGGAAAGTGGCTCCTGCATGGAAACAGGCTTGAAAACTCCTCAAGGATTGATTGATTTCTTGTCTGAGACACAGGTCTGAGACAGGAGCCTCAAGAATGAAATGAGAAACAATTCAGACATTTAAATGTATAATGATGAACAGTGAAGGTTCCTAGATCTTCTCCGAGCTCTATAGTCGAGTTTTATAGGAAAAGAACGTGAAGAAATTAAATGTTCTTTAAAAATCAGTTTAGTTTGGGACCATAAAAAGCATACACGTTAAATGTCTTCTTTGTTATTTAGTCTTAATGTTAACTTGTATATGTGGACATTAAATCTAAGCGTATTAAAAAGCAGAAAGTGGCTTGCTTAGGTAGGTAATTTGGTAATTTCAAAGGGCTGAGAGGTAGTTTCAGAATTTAAAGTGTGTTTCAAAATGAAACGACTGTTTACAGTATCATGTCTAACATCAATTGAATTATTTCTTGCAAACCTTTCTCGTGTTTTCTTCTTCCAACTCCCTCTGCAGATATAAACTTCTGAGGTATTCCAGAGAACGTCAGTATATTGATGGGTTGAACAATTTAAAATATACTCCTAAAATACTTGTCGGTAGATTGTATAAAAATATAACTGTTAATCTCATACCAGAACTTGCTCCTGTTAGAGACTATTGACGGAGGTGGAACGACAAGCTACCCTACCAGAACAAACTTTTAACACTGGAAGCTACTAACAGACACTGTAAAGCAAAACAAAACCAACAAACAGCAGCTTAGAATTAGAGATCTTTGACCATTTGATGATGCATATCTGGGATGAGAAGTGATTGTATGTACCCTGCGTTTTGTCCTGAAAGAAAAGCCAGCAGCTACCACTCAGCAGTACCACTCAGATGTTTACAGCATGAGACTACTGTTCAAGCCTTCATTCTTCATATTCTCTATCTTAATCACTTAAATAAACTGCAGAAAACAGACTTGTAGCTTCTCTGGAAGCAGGGACTGAGACCTCTTCTTCCAGGAATTTTTTTTTATACTAAACTGCCCCCCCCGTATTTAAATTAATGCTTTTGTTTCTTTGTAAAATGTGTTTTGTAAATACGTGATGTAAATTAATGTGTATACATTGCTTTTAAATTGCTCAATATTTTATGCTTCAGTATGTACTTGAGTGTGTTCTCGTTTGAATTCTATAGGAATGTTTTTATTAGCATGAAAGAACAAGTGTAAACTGTAAGTATGCTTAAAAAAAGGTTATACCTTATGTGAAATGAAGGAAATATTAATTGTTGGCCAGCTATGACTGCAAACTGTTATACTAGTTTTGAGCTCTAGGCCTCCTGCATATCTAAATAGAAAAATCAATTTTGTATATGAACTTGCTAGAAAGAAAGCTTTTAATTTTATTTATTGCCAGCAAAATTGTATGATACCCTGCCTGCCATCTAAATCCTATTTATATGCATATTGCATGTGTATGACAGAAAATCTTGCGGTGGTTGTGTATTATGATCTACAGGAGCTCTTAACTGTTTCCAAGTGTGCCACTAGTGTCAATGTCAGGGATTTTAACGCCTAAAACAATGTGTCTGGGTGCGTACAGTATTTTGGTATTGTTCTTTTTTTTCCTTTTTCTTTTTAAATCCTAGTAAACAGCACTTTTGTTCCTCCAAAATCAGAAGAGCCAAAAATGTGTCTTCATTGGAAGAATATTACAGTTAGATTTTTAAGAAAATACTAAACCATAGTTCTAATAGTTCTAATGCTTGCAGGGCGGGATTTTCAGAACCACGGTGTTGGTCAGGCTGTTCCGCTGCCGATGGCGTGAGCGGGACGGAAAGCAGGCCAACCCCAAGGGCTTCTTAAAATTCCACCCGTAGTAATCCATATAGCTATTCCAGGGCCTGTTCTGGTCGAGTGCTGAGCGCTTCTACGACGCACTAAGTCTCCTCAAGTCGGTGACTTCCGCTGAGAGGGAGGTTGCGCAGTCCCGCTCAGGATCGCTCCTCTCTGTTTCTCTGGTTTTGTGGTGTCACACGTGTGAGTAACTCGCCTCGTTCCTTGGCTTATAATGAACAACATTTCTTCTTCTTTTCTGTTGGCTCGTGATGTTATGCTACCTAAACTATCCCGCTGCTGAGCGTTATTATCTTTTCCTGATATTTTTTTACGTCCCTTGTTAATACTAAGGAAAAGGACCGGATCGTATATTTTCTACGTTAGCGCAAAGGTACTGACCAAGATCTATTAAACTGTTTCGTTTCTCCGTTACTCAACTCTTTAGGAACCAAAGACTGACTTCTGCTCTCCTGCAGAGTGGGAAGCAGTACGTACTGAGGATTGCTTATCCACAGAGTGTCCTGTAAGAGCGCTGACAGAGAGTGCTAACTTGAACGCGTCACTAGGTGTTGGCTTCCCAAATCGCCGCCGCGGGCGGTGTGGTGCTTTGTGTATTTGAGTTTGTTGGCCGTAAACACCTTTTCTTTCTTCGACATCCCAGCAGCTAATTTTGCCCTTAGCCGTCATCCTTCAGGAAAGTTCTGAGTGTAGTCGTAGGCATCCCAAATATTTAGTAGAAATGTAATGATTTAACTCCAGCAGTTGGGAGCCGTTGTAAGGGATATTTTAAACGGCACTGCAATGACCTTAAAAATCTGCCAGTTAATCTTTACCAGTTCATGCTTTAGGGGTGATGTAAGGCAATGAAAATAACAAAAAGCATAAAGTGAACAAAACATCCTTCCAAAGCACGCTGAAGTGGTTTGATCACCTCTTGATATATTTTTCTATAACTGAGTGTATAGGATATTCTGAAGCGTATGGATAAAGGGGAGATAATTAATATACTGTATGAGCAACTATATCTTCAAAATAAAATTAGTCTTACTTCGTAACAGAGTAGTACAATTCTTTAAGAACTGTTGAATAGATTTTTAAATCCCTGATGTAATTTTGCGGTGATTTCTGGTTTTCAGTACAAGTTCACCTACAATTTAACGCCTGTGATGATGAAACATCCTTTGGTGCTGTAGGTCTGTGCTGTTTCTGAAGCATGCTTCTGTGCCCATTTGTCAGGCATTCTGTGAAATTAATATGCAATTTGTAAAAACTCTAATGCATATATATGTATATATACACGTACATATATACGTACTATTTTACACCTATGCTGTGGCTGAACTAATACACCCTGACAGCTCTAAGTGATTAATCATGTATGGTCTCATAAAAATGGGATTTAAAGCGGCATGGGAACGGGTGATGATATACAGCTGAGTCCTCCAAAAGTTTACGTTTTGGTGCCCCGAAGTGACTGGCAGATACTAAATTAACCAACTCTTAACCACGCTGCCAACCAACCCTTCTCTAAATACCTTCTGTCACTTTGTTGGGAAGTTTTAGAAGTTACCATCTTAAATTGCATCCAGATAGTGCTTGTGTACTGCCTGCCTGAACTCGGTACTATTCTGTGGTGGGTTTTAACATAGACAGTGCCTTCAAACACAATAAATGCGATGCAGAACTAAGAGTTGTGCACATTCCTTTTGATATTTTCGTGATTCTTGTAAAATGTAGAGAGAAGCCGATCACGTTGGCTTTTGCATTGCTGACAAGGCCAATTAAGGATGTCTTCCCTTTGAGGACTGACCACGGAGGGAGAAGAAAGAGGGAGTATTTTACAAGATTCTGAAGGTCTTGCAAATTAGCAAGTAAAAATATTACAGAAATGTTAACTGTGGAATCTGGTTGATACGCTAAGATACTCTTAAGCCCGTTTGCTGTAGCTCAAATTTAAGTAGGAGAATATAAAATATAAAATCCATTTTGCAGTAGACAGTATATTGAAAAGCAAGTGCAAAATGTCCTTTTTCTTGGATCTTGCCAGACTATTTTTCTATCATTATGTTTACTAATGACTGTGTTGTAGTGGGTGACTAATGAGCCAGTTAGTTAAAAATATTAAAAGAACCCATTGTGTATCAGCAAGAGGAAGTGTACTTAAGATTATTTTATTTGTAGAGGTATGTAAGATAGGCTTAATGAAAAATGCACTGAAACAAATGCTGGGAATTTCCTGTGTACTATCATAGTTTTGGTTTTTTGTTGTTCATGAAAATGTTTGTACTTTTTTATCATTGTCTTTTATGAAATATAATGTTCTAAAGCTTGTGTTGGCTTGTTTATTCTGAGGTTCTGCGGAGAAAATATTTTCTTTGTGTTTTGTTTCTAGATGAAAGTGCTCATTTTTCTAGTGCTCGGTTCCTCGAAGGAACAACAAAGGGAAGGAAGGGACACCTGGCCAGCAGACGCATCAGGTTAGGCTGTGATGGGCTCAAGCCTCAGGCTAACAAATCTTTTTTCCCTTTATTGGTATTTAAAGGTTTTCAGCTTTTGGCTTTATTAGGCTAAGTGACTCAACATTTTTGTGTACTTTTCCAGATAGGGCTGCTGTTCTGTTGCGTCTCCTCATGGCTCCTCTCTGTACTTATTTCTGTCTAGGAGTAACCATCCTTGTATGTGGATTACAGGAACGGGAAAGAGAAGAATCCATTTGTTTTTTCCTGGCATTAAATAGGGAGCTGGTTTTCTCAGGAATCATCAGTCATCCTTATTTTTCTTTGTATCTTAGAGCTACTACGAAAGCGTCTGGTGGTTAGAGGCATGCAGGTCGTTTTGGGGAGTGCTTCAACTTGGGGCAAAGGTATTTGCAGAACTTAATGAAAATACACGAAAAAACTTCTTCAGGGATGTTTGATGAATACATTTTTCTGCAGCACTGGATGTGGACTCTCCTTGAAAGTGTCCCCAGTTACAACATGTGGGAAAGCAGGGCAGGAGGCGTTTTCAGTGCGTGTGGCCTCCTGATCACCCTTAAGTGCTGCTCTGGCTTGCTCTCGCTTTTAAGCTGCTTTTGCTTCTGTATCTTAAGAATCAGCACTGGGAGGTGAGGTTACGTGGTGGTTACGTGAGGCCCTGGGTAGGTGTCCCGTGTGACTTCATCTCCCGTGGGCTTCAGCAACAGAGCACGGGTGACGGCAGGAGGGGGACCGCGTTTCCCGTGTGCTCGCTTTTCGTGAGACGCCTTCAGGTGGGTTTTGTTCGCTCCCTTTGCAAGAAGCAATGTCGTTTATTGACTTCATGGAAGACTTTGGGTTATTCTCAGAATCCCAGTAATGGAGTTTCAGTGGATTTTTTTTGTAGAGCTTGTTGTGTTTTCTGAAACCCTAAACTTTTATTCAGAAGAGCAATACTTACAGAATACAGAAATACAGAATACTTGTGTTCAGAAGAGTATTTGAAAACAAAGTCAGTACACATTCTTCCTAAAGTTAACAAAGTTAATAAACAACTGGACTGTTACTGTTCAACGTTTACTATGAACTCTAAAGCTGTTGATAAAGTCAGAAACTTAAGTTGTTATCATTTATGGAAATTTTAATTTACATGTCTGAATTTTCATGCTTAATGTCGGCTTCTATTCCACTGGCTCACTGACTACTGCTGTAGTTGAGTAAGAAAAGGGACTGAGGAGAACAGTAATGGAGTAATGTCGATACCCAGAATCGTTAGCTGTGAACACCACCTGGAAAAAGAAAAAACAAATACAAGACAAATGGGAAGTGGTCTCTAGGTACGAGCCTGGATGGAACCGTTGTGCTGCTTTGATCGCTGGGATCCGTGGCTGCTTGTCACACATGGTTTTTTCCGCTGGTTAAATATCCTTTGTTAAAAGCACACATGGCACTTATATTACTTCAAATTTCGTCATATATATTTATTATCCAAATCCGTGTTTCCTTGTTGGTGCTCGTAAATGGCAACAAGTTTGGGTTTTTTCCTTATTGAAGGTCTAAATTGAACCCCATTTATTGCCTTTATTTAAAAAATCCCACAAAACCAACCACCAGAAACATCCCTTCAAGTATTTGAATATTTTTCTTGCCCTTACGAAGCCCTGAACGTTGAGGAACAGGATTAAACGTAGTGCTACAGTAACGGTCATCAGGCCAGAATAGGAAGCAATGAGTTTCTTTAATCCAACTCGGGTGTCTGGTAGACAGAGGAGGACTGCGTTAGCGCTTTGGCCACACCCTGGTCATGACGTTACGTGCGAATGATTTACAGCGACCCTTTTGAGCTCTTCCACGTCAGCTCGTGGCCTGTCCTTTGACTTCTCCCTCTGTTTTGTGTGGTGAGATGATGGGTGTCAGCTTTTAGAATGGCCCCAGTTTAGTAACGCTGTGATGCAGAGCTTGTGCTCCTTTCAACACCGATAAAAGCCACCAGAGAACTGAGCAAAACGTGACCCACGCTGGAGCTTATTTTTAAGAAAGGAGGCTTTTGCACTCTGGATTAAATTAATTTCTAGTCTGGAATATAGACTTACTTTGATGTGTAGTCAATTTAGTTGCACGCTGTAGATCTTTCATCTTACCTCTCTTGTTTCAGTTATCACAGGAGGCAAGACTACCTGGCATTAACCTTCATTATTGTCTGGAATAAGAATGCCATCTCGTCCGTTTTAGGGAGGCAGAGACAAAATTTAACCCAGGGGTTTGCCACCTTTTCTCCAAGGAGTGAGGAATGGCTGTTGCCATTCGGTTACAGACCGTACAGCTGCTGATGCTCACTGGTGTGTCCCAGTCCGGCCAACAACTGATACAGGACTGCTCCTGCTCCTGGAAGGTCGTAGGAAAGGGCTGATGCTCTGGAAGGGAAGGGGAGAGCCCCCAGGGATTCCAAACCCTGCAGTTGGTACCTGGTTTGGACCACCTTCCTCTAACCGCTTTATCTGTCCCGTGCAAACTGAGGAGGCCTCTTACGCTTTTTTCCTGCTGTGAACTGAGGATCCAAGCATCCAGAGCACGGATCATACTTCCATCATCTTTAAAAATCTGAATTTTGTCTGCAGCTGTACAAATACAGCATCCAAAAGGCAGAAAAATCCTTTTCCCAGAAGATTTAACAGAGTAGTGCACCTGCTCTTCTCCCTCAGGTGCCTACGAATAGTCACAGGACAAATCACAGGTTTGAGTAGAGGTAGGAGGACAGAAAACCTCTTCATAAGGAATTCATTGAAGAGCTTAATGAGAGTTATGGGGAAGCTAGCAACTAGGTTCTCTCATGAGTACGTTGTTACAAGCTTTGAGACTGGATTTGAAGTGTTAATGCGAAATTATTTTAAAGTGAAAAGGAAATTCCCCGTGTGCAATTGGTAACTGAAGCCTAGATATATAAAGAATCTTTATTCTTTGCCACTAAAGTGCAGGAGAAAACGAATACTCACGTCAGCATGGTGATGGAAGGGATTCAAGCCCAGTCTCTTCCAGTAAGAGGCTGTGTCAAACTCAGTCTTGTATGTCCCTGCTACGAATTGTTCTTTAGTCGTGAGCTCGTGGAGCTCTCCGTTGTCATTCGTTTGTCTGTGTGGTGGCAGAAGAATGCACACTTATATTTTGGTTAAAAGCCCGAGAAAAGGGGTGGTGTGTAGCTTCAGGAATGTGGTGAACGCTCGTGTTGGTCTGGAACGCCTTACGTCCGCCCGTATCACGGCTCCTCCAGAGCTTCTCTTGGCATTTGCTGCTTCCACGGTGGCCGCAGCAGGTGGCTGCCTGCCCTGTCCCTGCTCTGCACGGCTTGGGGCTCAGCCGGGTACTGCTCACAGACCCTTGGCAGAGTCTTGGGAGTTAATTAGGTGAACCCCCTCAGAGGGAAAACCTCACCACTGCTGTAAGCCACGTGGAAGCTCTAGGACGCGCTTACTGTGCAAGTAAGTGGGGTCAGCTCTTGATTTTTCCATACTTTTCCTTTCTTCTTTAAATTTATTGAGCTGTTTTGTGAGCACGAACGTTTTTTGCCGCTGGCTGTTTGAAAGGACTGTAGGTCAGCCAACGGCGTGGCCTGCCTGAGTTCCCTGTGCTCTGTATCGACCCGTTGGTTTTCCATCCTCAGCAAACAGAGGGCTTTGTTTGGTTTGAAGGTGCTATCAGTGCTGCCCAAGGCCATAGCGCTGGCTTGACGCTATACACCTTGGAACACCAACTGATTTAGGGCTCCAGAACCGATACTGAATGCTGTCTCTCAAAGATAGCTCTTGGCTGAAACCTGTTTCTGTGAAATAAGTTAATTAATTATTATAAGTTATTAATTATAAGTTTTTGGTTGGGTGGGTGATCTGCACATGACAGCGCTGCCAGTGCCTGGTTTTAGTAGTCACAACCCCCTGTTCTGTGTCCTAGCTGCCAAATCTTTTTGTGAACATATTTTGTTCAAATTGCATGGAGAGAAAAATAAAGTTGAATTTTTATTTATTTTTTTAAATCATTGTCCAGTGGATTACTTAGGATTTGTGCTTTAATATAGCTTATAACTGAAGTCATAGAACACCCTTGGTATCTTAGTTGCTCTGTAGTCATCAGGGGGTTTTTTAGCTGTTCAAATGTCTCTATTTTTTTCTTTGCCATAGGTTGATCATTGTTAGGTAACTCTTCATTTATCTAATGAACTTTCTCAGCTAAAACCAAGCACGTCTTTAACTGAGAACAGTTACTGCAGAATTTCTTGCTAGCATTCAATTATTTACAGATTAACAAGGCTGGAGAGGTTGATTTAGCATTGCCATGACTTTCGCATACCTCGCCTTAAGGTTACTTTGTGCTTTGTTTCAGATGTTCGGTATGTTTTTAAGGCTTCAGTTAACATCCAGCTGTTCAGCCAGCTGTCTTTATATAGAGCATCTAAGCTCAGATTTGAAGACAAATAAACTGAACGCCCTCTTAATAGAAAACTTTGCGCATTTCCAGTGACCAGACTGAAGCTGTCATCCCACTGGAGGGGTGGGAGGCAATTTAGGTAGGACCACATGGAGAGATTTTTGTCCCCCACCTTGTGCAAGTACGTGGTGGCCTTCGCTGTAGCTGTGTTTTTCAAGGACGCGTACGAGAGCGCTGTTGCTTCTGCCAGCCCCCTGCTCTGCGACACCAAAGAGCCCCTTACACACAGCTCCTCATGGACCTCCTAGAAATGCGTCTGAGCCTGGGATCCCACTGCTGGAATTCCTGCCCTGTGTCGGCTTTAGCCCTATCTCACTTTTTTAGGTAGAATAGACCGTTAACAGACCTGGAAAGGTCTCAGGTGAGACTTTACAATTCCCTTGAGGTAAGGGCAGCAGTGGGATGTTGTTTGTTGGAGAACGTTCATTCTCTGTACCCCCTAAAAATTTTTTCCAGTTTCATTTCAGATTATACTTTAAGTAAAAATTGCTTTTGAATTTTTAAAGTGTTAATATGTCCTAAAATTGAGGGCGATTTTAAAAAAAAAAAAGTTATCTACACTTGAAATTCTATATATAGAGAGAGTTATATATAGAGTTATATATTCTATATAACTATATTTTTTAAAAGATGTGGCAACATTTAAATATCTGGGAGATTCTTTTTCTTATTTTAGATGTAATTGCTTCTCTGTGGGGGAGGAGTTGATAAAGCTTAATCCCCGAATTTTCTCCTTTCGGCTGACTTCTTGAAGCGAAGGCGGCTAGCAGGTAGGATGTGGTATGGGTTCAAAACAGTTCCGTGTTTTCTTTTGAAAGCTGTGGTGGTGTGGGAAATGAAAATCCATTTAGAAAGAAGGAAAATAGCCAATAAAGGCAGGATTCTCAACCGGAGTCTTAGTTTCGAACAAACCAGAAGAGTCTGCCTGATTCTTCTGGTAACAATGCAGCAGTTCATTGCTGGGTACTAAAAAGTAATAGAATCCTTTGTAATGAAATCGAAGAGAAGCGATGATTGAATTAAAGGATCGTTTAAAATACTTTCTTGTGCTCACAGTAATTAGAAAGCATTATAAAACCATTTTGGTAGTTGAAGCTGTACTACAGTTAAAAGCCAATCTGCAGCAAATTCATCCAATAATGTGTTCTCTTTCCTCTGAGTGCGAAGGACATCTTAACGTTAGAGCACGTGAAACCCGTCTCTCAACTCTTTGGCCTCTTCCCCTTGCCTTTCCCGTCTCTCACTCATTATTTTGGTATGACTTACTTTGAGTTTAACAGTTCCCAAGATCCATCTGCAGCTTCTTTATATAACTTAACTGGAACGTTTGGAGCCGGACTTCCTCGGACTGAATCCAGAATTTTTATAGAAAGAGGATGCTTGGAGTCAGCAGAGTCCTTCGGATAGGAAGGGAGAGTTTTAATGTTGTGAGAAAGGTGAGTGACGGTGCATAATGAAGCAGTAAGGGATATTATTCTTTAGATCTACAGAATATACCTTTCTTTCTTTTTTTTAAATTTTTTTCCCCCAAGAGGATCCCTGTGTACTGCAGAAATACAGCCTGAAGCTTTCGGGGGGCTGGGCAGGGTGGGAGCGGGGAGGAAGGCGTCGGGCGGAGCGCAGACGTGCGCGCTGGGGAGGCACCGCGGCCGGCTGGGAGAACGCTTCTCTGTTTTCTCTTTGGCGTGGCTTAGCTGCACATCAGCTCCAGCGTGGACTTGTAACTAAACTGTGACCTCAACGGGAAAGGATTAAATCATCAAAGGCAGTAGGAATGCTTAAAATTCTGGCAACTCTTCCTCCCTGTTTTGGAGTGGCAACTCGAGCGCAGCTGTCTGGGTTTGAGAGCCTCTGGTGTCTTGTGGCCATGGAGTTCTCTTAATTCTGCTGTAAACTTGGTAAGTGCCACGTACAGACTCTCTCCTAACACTGTTGGATGAGATTTGTCCGCCCCTGGCAGCTCTGCAGGGACTGGAGAGGAAAACCTTCCTTCAAAGGTGGGATGGCTGTCGTTTCGCTCCCAACTTGCTCACCACAAGCCGTGGTTATGCCCTGATGCTTTGCTGGTTCAAAGGCAGAGTTGAATTGGGGCTTTGACCTTTGGTGACCTAATTCTGCAGATGAAAAGCGAGAAAGTAGAGCTTTGTGGAAGGTGGTAATCAGGGATGATCTCAAAACAGCAATCATTGAGCTCCGTTTGATCACTGCAAAACGATTTGTGATGGAGATGGTCAAAACCAAGAGCCCTCTTGTGCGTCCCCGCCTACGGTCCGTGATGTCCTGAGCATCCCACCAGCCGGGGCCCTGCCCTGGGCCAGACCCACGCCCTGACTCCTCACGCTCCCTTTCTGGAACGCAGAGGCTCCTCAGCCTTTGCCTTGAGGCGTTGGCAAGGGGGGCTCTAGTGCCACCACCTGTTTTCGGGACTTTTACACCCTGGGAGCTCAATGATTGAGGCTGCTTCCTCGCAAAGGGTGGTCAGGTATTCGTGAGCTGGAGAGGAAGAATGAGCAGGGGAGAGAGACAGAGAGAGGGAGAGACGAGGCTGACGTTGGAGGATAACGTGGCCGCGGCTGTAGCCCGCTTTGCTGGAATAGATGAGCCCTCTGGAAGGGGGATCCTGGCTCTGGCTCTGCCCTTGGCTGCGCCAGTGGGTGCTGGGATCCCCTCTTGGCTTGCGTGGGACAGAGCGGCAGGGGAGAGGACTACAGGAGGCATTTCTCCAGCACGGATCTCATGAAGGGAAGTGAAATCCCCCATGCCAGGAGCTTGTTCACAGCGGTGTGAGGGCTATTCGTGACTTTTCCACAGGCCTAAGGCTTCCGTGTAGTGAATATGGGATTTTTTTCCTTTCTTGTCTTACACTGTTTTTCACGTAGCTGCTGAGGCTGATGACAAGTGCTGCTTCTCTCACCATAAAGCCCCCTCGCTAATCGCTAGAGAAGGAGAAAGAAGGACCAGGAAAGCAGCAGTAGGAGAGAACTACAGCCAGTGCATACCATAAAATCAAAGTAATTGCAATGAAATTCTATTTTTCACTTACACTAATTACAGTTTAAAAAAAAAAGAAAAAAAAGGGAAAAAAAAGCAGGAACTACATCAGTATGAAGGACTTCAATCCTGAGACACTTACCGGTGGTGCAGCTTCGGAGAAAAATGCCAGGCCAGCTAAGAAAACAAGAGATACAGAATAAAAAGTCATTTTGCCTACCACTAGGAAGTCTCAGTGTCAGCAAGTAGAAACTGGTGGGATCTGTGATTTTTATATCAAGGCCTCTAAACTGAGGCTACTTATCAGAAAACCCGTATGACTTTCAACATGCTGATTCATCCTATTTATTCAGCAAACAATGAGAAAATAAGTAACTGATACAAACTTGAACCCTGTCTGCAAAAATAAGTCTCCTCTATCATTGCCTGTGGAAATATTGTGAATATTGCCTAGCCCAACTGCGGTGAACTATTTTCTCAGAAACAATGTCTATTCTGGTTTATTTTTCTCTTTTTGTTGAGGGACAACGGTGTAGAGATGTCATATCGTTGAGAGAAATACAGATTTCTCATCAACTCAGCAATTTCGAGTCCAGTAAGAACTTCTCTGTGGTTATGGCGTGGCATGATTGACTCACCCGTGTTTATCTGTTAAGAGATTTCTCTCTGTGGTGGCCTTCTCGCCACCACTGATAGAAGGTAAGTAGATGATGTGTGGGCTGTCTAGCTGTCTTAGGCATTCTCCTGCAGGAAAAATATGTGACCTTTGGTTTGCAGCACGATAAACGGAGACCTACATACCCCTTTCTGAAGCAGTTAAAACAGGGTTTTAAGTCCTATCACTTTACTTGTCCCTTAGATTCAGTTCAAGTTCAGGACTTCCCTGTACCACTGCAAGTCAGCTCCCACCAGAAGCATCTCCTTCATTTTAGGGAAATGTTAGTTCTTGAAATCAAACTTCTTTCTGATCTTTGGTTAGACACATGTGTGTGCACTCTCTTACTAGGTCTGTCTTATCATCAGATGGGTGACTACGTGCAGAGCAGTTTTTGTTTTTTTTTTTTTTTTGTGGGTTTGGGTTTTTTTTTAATGACTACCACTGCATGAACATATTTATGTCCTATTTTGCGGGCTGGGCATAGCCCACTGCAAATCAAACCTACTGGTTTTCAAGCTCTGGGAATAGCAGGATCCCATGAATTCTGCAGGTTTTAAGATGGGTGCTGGTTTGAAACTATTTGCACTGCTTACAAGAGTTGTGTAACCATGGTAGTATCTAGAAATCAGGGAAAAAAGTAACCAAATAGTGAAACGTTAAAGGCAGGATTTTGTAACTGGTGAATTCACTCAGTATGCAGCCATCCCAGCGGGCTGTGGGTGCAGAGGTAAACTCCAAGGTCAGTGGCAGATGAGTGCTGATGGTTTCTGAATGGCATCATTTCAGTAACTGTCTGTAGTTTCTGTAATCCTGTTAAAAAACAATTCCTCTGCTTCAGGGTATTTTAAATACAACAGTCTGCAGAAATCACTGCTGAAGCCCTCAAAGTCTTTGGTCGGTTTATCCACCACATGGTTTGAATCACAGTCACTCCACAGCTTACCTTTCCCTGTTTCTAAAAATCTGAAGAGAATATTGAGATGATGCCTCTATTTTAGGACTTTTTTTTTGTAGTGATGGCTGGAGATTTGACTTATTGGAGATTTAATTGGAATGAACCTGAATACGGCAGCCAGATGGGTTAAAGATCAAAGTTGTTAAATGCGGCGCTAATTGAAATTGCTTCAGAACTTCCTAGATTAATTGAGCAGCAAACCTTCCTCTTGGAACAACAAAGTGTTGAGATTTACCTGAAGTCTGAAAAAGGTACAGAGATGTTAACTCTTTAATCTCTCTGGATAGATGTATTTGAAGAGCCTTTCTGCATTGTTTGTGCTGCTGCTAGGTATTCGGAATTTCTCCTGTTTACCCTGTGGCCTAGTGGATAGTGGGACCTTCCCTTCTGCGTGTAAACTGAGGAGCACGATGACTTTATAACTTCAAGTATATGTCTTTGGTCAGGTTCATTAAGGTAGCGCGACTCTATACCTTTCTTACTTTGAGCCAATGCATTTGGTGAGACTTCTTTAAGGTAGTGGAGGAGGAGAACAGAACCAAATCAAGTGCTGCGCCGTGCGTGTTTCCCAGATGTCCTTTGCACTTGGATGCAAATCATGACACCTTAGAACACAATAAAACTTCACCAGTAGAATCAAAACCGTTTTAAAGACTTAACATTTTATTGACTCGTCTGAAATTTGCCAGGTTATAAAATGGGAAAAAAAAAAAACCCCAAACAACTAACATAGCAAAAAGTTATGCATTAGCAGTAGGAAAAACCTTCCTCCTAAAAGCCTACGATAGTTCTAGCAGAGGAGGGTGTTTGTGGAACGACAGTACGTGTTTATTCCTGGGGATCAGTGACAACAGCAGTGGTTGAATAAGAGAAAGGACTGAGGAGAGCGGCAATGGTATAATGGCGGTGACCGGAATCATTAGCGGTGAACACCACCTGGAAAAGAGAAAACTTGTGATCACGATGAACAATGTATATCCCAAACTGCCTTAATAAGAATTAGCAAGCACACGCCATTGCCTCTGCAGAATACTTCGCCAGTTCTGCCCAGTCAGGGGTTTTACCCCTCTGAAGGAGAATGCTCCCCGTGTCCAGTCAGGGGTTTTGCCCCTCTGAAGGGGAATGCTCCCCGTGTCCAGTCAGGGGTTTTACCCCTCTGAAGGGGAATGCTCCCCGTTCTCTTTGCGCTGCTTGCTGAAGACTGAGAAATCTGTGAGATTTGGGCTGAGGTCCACAAAGAGCCTCAGCTGCGGTGAAGCGAGGTGGAGGTACCTGCTCCTGAGCCAGGCGAACTACTTTGCGATGTGGAACGGGAGGATGAGGGGAAGGTGTCTCAAAGGGCCAACAAGAAAAACAGAGAGGTGAAATCCCACCTAGTGGACTTGCACACCACCTCCGTGTGAGGGGTCCAGGCCAGGTGGGCAGTTGGAGCCCAAAGCTGCTTTCTGTGCTTCAGGGCCTCGCTCCTGTTTTCAACACAGCTGGTGATGGGTCGGCTCTTGCATTCAGAACCGAGTGGCTGGACTTGCCAGAGCAAGGAGAGGCCCTTGTCCTAACATAACTCAAATTTGCTGCTCTCCAAGTCTGTCCCTAGAACTTGGGACACCCAGTTCGCAGGGAAGCGTCGTCACGTGAGTTAAGCTCCCGCTTTCTTTGGCTCTCTTTAGCCTGATGTTTGATCTGTTTTCTGAACCATGACCTATTTTCTACAAGAGAACTAGAGAGTTCCCTCCTCCATCCTGGTCTGCCAAAGCCTAAGCTGCTGGGACGTGAGGAGGTCAGTTGCCTCTCACCCAGACAGCCATTGACCTCTGCCCACCTCCCAGGCCAGTTTGTTGGCCTGCAGGCTGTTACATCCAAGGAAAGCTGCTTCAACAGCCGAGCTGGAACAGTCTCAACCGGGTGTTTTTAAGCACCTTCTGAGCTGAAGCCCTTCCGCAGGCCCCAGCAGCTTTCAGGTATCCAAATGGTTGGGGAATATTTTTGAGGATTGTTTATGTGGCCTAAATGGCCCAAACTGCACCTCACGCTTCACGGACCTGGGCTTCAGTCATTTGTTTTAGTCTTCCACAGAGCTTCATAAACTTGTGGTTTAGAATGTTCTACCACACAAGCCATTCCAGACTACTTAATTTGGGGAAACTTAAATTTAATGGCAGATTAAGCCTGAATAATTTAAACAAATGTTTTGGAAGTGCCAAGTAAATGTAATAGAATAGAGCACACGGTAAATCGGTGTAGGGCTGAAAGCAAAGGGAAGCACAAAACATAATTATATTGCTGGCCTGGTTATGAAATCTGAGTATCGGTGAAACAGCCAACTTTTCCTTTCCCACTATGGTTATTTCTTTATATTTTTATGCCTTTTTTTCCTATTGCATATTTCAATACTGAGCATCTTTTTTTTAAAGAAAGAATTGTTTTTTCCTGTAATTACAGCTCATACATTCAGGGGTTTTCAGGTGACTGATATGGGGGAAATATGTCTGATGAAAGAATAACTTATTTCCTATAAAATTAGGGTTTCCAAATCCCTGTATTCCTTCAGCAACAATAAAAGCAGTGCCTGTTTTTTTTTCATGGGTTTTCTTTTTCTTGTTTGTTTTTTTTTTTGAAACACTGCCTACTTTTGGATAACGTAGCTCTCTTTGAGCAAAGGTCCCCACTGGTCTGAATGGGTGAACGGGCACAGCTCCACTTTGGAGGAGCTGTTGTGTGGGCATTTGCAGGGAAGTTGGCTGCTTCCTTTGGCTCAGCCGGCTGTGTGCTGCCTCTGTCTGCCCGCTGTCGTGTCGCACTGAACCGTTTCACCGAACGATGCCGCTCCCTCAGGGTTAAAGGACTGTATTTGCTCTGTCTAGCTGATGCCACTGCACAGCAGAGAGGTGGTTATTGCAAATACTTACGTCAGCGTACTCATGGAATGGAGAAAGCCCAAGTCCCTTCCAGTAAGAGCTGGTGTCAAACTCAACCCTGTATATTCCTTCTACAAACTGTTCTTCTGTTGTGAGCTCGTGGATCTCCCCGTACTCTGTGGTTTTCCTGTAATGGTAAAATATCTACGTAAACATTTTATACTGTCATTTAAATGCTGAACAGAAGCAGTCGATGTGGAACAGCAAATAGCAGAGGGGCTGCACATCAAATTCTTCATAATTTGAAACAATTCCCCCCTCCCATGCAGTGTATGTTTCTGTATTGCAGAGCCTGTCCTTGCTGCCGCCTCGTCCGTATACATCACAAATCAAAGCTGGCTGGTTTTTTGGTCATTTCGGTTGCTAGGGCAGGGATTATAGTTAAGGCCCCTCTTTTGATGTCACGTTTAACTTGTACCAAGTGCCCTCGAACCAACTGTTAGTGGCTTTGGAAAAGGATTGTCATGATGAAAGGCAAGATGCCAAATCTCAAATTATAATTAAAGAGGGAAGAGAGATTCTAGTGGAAAATTATTTTATCCTCTAGTTATTAGCACTGAGGCTACAGGTTTTACCCCTATACACTGATGTGATTTTATGTGACCCTGAGTGGTAGTGTCTTGGAAAAGCAATTTAGCATCACAAGATGTTATTAATTTGAATTACAATGCCTCAGTCAAAGAGCAGGGGCCTCTTCCACTGGGTGCCGTATAAATGAG